GCCCAACCTGCGCCTCACATCACCCTTTGCCCTCCCTCTAATCCCCAGGCTGTGGTAGGGAACCCACTCAGCACTGACAGTGCTAGAGACATAATACATCCAGAAGCCACAGTGTGTACAATAAAACACAACAAAACAGCAACTCGTGAAAAGGTATTCAACCAGGACTCAGACTCCTCAGCCTCAAACTTTTGACCCAGATAGAAGGAGTGATCAGGCCAACCTGCAAAAGTGCAGATAGTTCTCCACCAGAAACTGGCTAGCTGAGCAGCTAATTTAAAATCTCATATGCATTTTTTTTTAGGACAAGAGTCAAAGAAAACCACTATCTGAGAAGGGAAAATGAGAATAGTAGTTAACCCAGTTGTCAAAAATAGCTGACAGGAACTATTTAAATTAGATTTCATTTTGGGAAGAGAAGATCTCAGAGCCCTTCTTTCATTCCCACCCATAGTCTATGGGTTTCCCAGGGCCAAGCTGGTGGCCAACCAAGACTCGGATCATTTCACTAAGTCAAATCTATAATCCACATTCTAATAATGCTTTTTTTATTTCTTTTCTGCTATATGTACTGTGGAATTCATTGGAGGTGCCAGAATATGAGAACAGATATCTTCCCTTATTAAGTCTATGCACCCACCCTAAAGAATATTGATGTTTGGTCAGATGCAGTGGCTCACACCTATAATCCCAGCACTTCGGGAGGCCAAAGTGGGTGGATCACCTGATGTCAGGAGTTCAAGACCAGCCTGGCCAACATGGCAACACCCCCATCTCTACTAAAAATACAAAAATTAGCCAGGCATGGTGGCAGGCACTTATAATCTCAGCCACTCGGGATGCTGAGGCAGGAGAATCACTTGAACCGGGGAGGCAAAAGTTGCAGTGAGCTGAGATCACACCACTGTACTCCAGCCTGGGCGACAGAGTGAGCCTCCATCTCAAAAAAAAAAAAAAATAAACAAAGAATATTGATAATCTGTCAACCACACCATAGCTTAATGTTTGTCCAGATCGAGGGGGAGACTTAGTTTTTTAACTCTATCTTCTTCCTAGTGGCAGGCTCAATAGCCAACTTGAAAAGGCAACAAAAGCCTTGGTCCAGCCATGGTGTCCAGCTTTTCTGAGCTACCTGAGCCTCATATTTAGGCATATAGAAACTCTTGGCCGTGGCATGGAGACATGAAGTCCCCCAAGGAATGAAGGCAGTACCTGTGGGCACCATTCAGCATTTTCCTAGTATAGCCTGGTTCTCCCAGCAGTGCCAAAGCTGCTAATTTCCCAATGAAACTAGACATGTGTTTTCTGAAAGGAAAGTATACCCAAAACATCAAGATAGAAAAGAATTGAAGAATTTCATATTTAATAGTCCCTAAAGAAGTATCATCGGGAATATTAAACTCAAAACCTTGTTGGGCTTTACCTGTGTTGAGTATTTTCACCATTTTTACTTACATACAGAATCACTAGGGGAATAACTCTCTTGGGTGTTTAGAACTATAAAGGCGTGAATTGTTTGTGACTCTGGTAAGGCTGAGACATCATATCCCAGAGAGGCCTGGGTGATCACATGGAAATGGCTGAATCCCAGGCAAACCCCTACCTGTGCCACAGCCTGTCACTAGCTCTGTTTTCCATGGCTTCCACTTCCCCATCTTTCCAAACCACTCTCCTGCCCCTCCCCTCCATGACTGCACCATGGCTTCATTCCAAAGCTAAATATTTAATATGAAGGACACTCTGCCAAAAGTGAATGGAGAGGAGAAGAAATAAGAGAAACTCCTACGAGGATGTGTGCATGATATTAGTCTGTCCCTGACCCTTCTTGTAAAACAATGGTGTCCATTTCAGCTGAATCATCTGGAAAGAGATATCAGATATATCTAAGTGATTCGGTAGACTGAACTTATCTAAATCTCTCATACCCACCTGAGGGTCCCTCTCTAGAATGGCCAGGGGGATCTGATGTTCCACCTAATCCCTCAGCCCCTCAGCTTGGTTCCTGAGCCCTCATCCTGCACTGGCCCATCATCCCCATAGACGGTGCCCAATACAGTCTGAAATGCAGGTACAACAAAAATATGCATCTCCTTTAATTCAAATACAGGAGCAAGTGGTGAAAACGGGCAGCCGCTTTCTATGAACTACACATATGATGTGGATGCAGCTGGGGTTCAAAGGGACGCCAACATGTGACTTGCAAAGGAAGGATGACAAAGGAGGCAAGCCGACCAATATGTGGCAGCCCACACCAACTTGTCCGAAAACATTCCTTCTGCTATTTGGAGATATAAAGTGCCTTTGAAAGGAGCTCACATTTTAAAACTTTTAATGATAATAAAATTTTAATAATGATATTCTGAACACTCATCAAGTGCAAATTATGGCCATTCCATTAAGATATTTAATGTCTCATTTAATCTTCACCAGAACCTTAGACAGTAATACTAATATCCCATTTCACAGATTAAGAAACCATGCCTGAGAGATCACATTACCAACAGTAGCCCGTCTAATATATTATGTCAAAACTACACTTTTAACCTTCACATTACACTACCTCCTTCCAAAATTATTCCCCATGAATAAAGGTGTAATGTCTATGAAATACAAGTCCATGATTGGAAAAGTAGGCTTATGGTAAAGAGAATATTACATCTATGTACAGTGATAAAGAGAAAGGAAAAGATAGGAGTATATTTATTATTTTAAAACGTATCTGTTACCTCTGAATATACTTGCTTTCTGTGGCATGCTTGTGCAAGGCTAACTTTTTTTATATTACTAAATAAATAAACCTTTATGTACTCAGTTATAGATGCTAATAATTTTATTTCCAAAGTTAGAAACATTTTTCTATAATTCAATAAATTATTAAATTTATTTAACAGAATAAAGTTAACAGATAAACACAAATCCATTCATAAGGACTCTATATAAGGGCCACGTTGGAAGTTTTAAGAAATTCAAAAGAGAAGATTCTGGTGATATTTATAATCTTACTCCAATTATGTTAAAGATCAAAATGAAAGTGTACAGTCTTTACACATACAGCAAGAGAATGGTACAGATTCGGTCCTAGGTCAAATACTATATGTTTTATATACCATGAGAGATCAGAAAGAAACACCATTTCAGCCACAATTAGCCTGGAAAATTCACAGGTAAAATAGAAGTGAGTATGAAATCGAAATCAAGGGACAGAATAAGAAGGAAGAAGAATTTGCATGAGCCAGACACAATGATAACCCTGAAGACCCAGAATTCAGGGCTAACACCCAACTCTCTGTTGAACAGCCCTCACATTCATGAAAAATATTCAGTATTCATTTGTTTCCAGCTAACATGAGGCATAATGCTAAGCAATGGAAATAGAGATATGAAAAAAAAAAACATAGTCTTCCCCTTCAAGTAGTTCTGAGCCAAGTAGAAAACAAAGAAAATCAGGCCAGCATCTATCATAGCAATTAAAATTCTGAGCTTTCAAGTCACACTGACCAGGTGTAACCCATTCTACTTACTAGCATATTCTTAACCTCTCTGAGCCTGTTTCTGCCACTGCAAAATCTCTAATCATTGACATGAGAATTAAATTAGACCATATGCAGAAAGCTTTTAGAAAAAAAAAGTCATGTAGTTTTTTAACAGTTAAATATTTCATTGCTAATATTTTAGAATGCCTTCATACAGAGGTTATTCTCAGCCCAGCTAATCAATTGAATCACCTAATTGCTTTAAAATAAAAACAATCAATGTCTGGAACCTGCTCCAGATGAATTACATCAGGCAAGTGTCTGGAGCTGGGACCTGGTCCTCAGGACTTTGTTTGAAGTCCTCCTGGTGAGGATCATGTGCCAGATTTCTGGGTTTAGCATATGGAAGGAACAAGGACCTCTGCCTGTGTGTGTGCCAGGAGGAGCATGTCAAGGTGAAACCGCCTTTGCAAAATTATGACTGAGACAGTGAAAAACGTCCAACTTAAATGACTCCATCTTTCCTCTAACCTCCAAGCTGTCCTGCTCATTCCTGGGCATAGGCTGAACTAACTTTGGGAGGAACTTAGTTTAGAATTTATAGTTTAAAACATATACCATGAAAATTCAGAAAGAAACACCGTCTCAGCCACAATCAGTCTGGAAAACTTCACAGGTAAAATAGAAGTAAGGATGAAACCAAAATCAATAGATAGGATAAGAGGGACATTTCAAGAAGAAGAATTTGCATGAGCAAGTTTTTTAACAGTTAAATATTTTAATGCTAATATTTTAGAATGCCTGCATACAAAGGTTATTCTCAGCCCAGCTATTCAGTTGAATTACCTGATTGCTTTAAAATAAAAAATACCAATATCTGGAACATGCTCCAGATGAATTATGTCAGGCAAGTGTCTGGAGGTGGGACCTGGTCCTCAGGACTTTGTTCAAAAGTCTAGGCAGAACCCATTGAGAGGTTACAAAGACAATAACAGCCCTTTCCCAAAACAAACCTCTTTTTGCCTGGGAACTAGACTACTAACATTAGCCACAAGATTAGAAATTATGGTTTAGGAGTCATGTAACTGGAGGCTACAAGATTCTGACCCTCCCTAAACTGCTTCTAAGATGAATGCTTGACATGTTTTGCAGACTCTACACTTGATGGCTCCATCGACACTACTGAGATGAGAAACTAGCCGATCTGATCTTGTGACCCTAACCAGAATTGACTCAGCACAAGAAGACTGGGACACAATAGGATTTCACCTCTGACCCAACCAATCAGCACACACTCCCTGATTCACTGCCCCTCCCCTCTCACCAAATTGTCTTTAAAAACTTTGATCCCCAAATGTCAGATATAGTGAACTCCAAGTTTCTCTTCAAAGAATCAGTATGTCAGTATGCTCAGCTCTCTTACTCTTTAATTCTCCATTTTAAAGTTTAATTTCCTTGTAGTTTCAGTAAACAACTTTGGCACCAGTTCTAATCAGTACTTCATATCTGTTCCCCCCGTCCCTTACTCCATCCTGACTCATCCCAGACACCTGCTCCAGTCACCTGATTTGACCCCTGGTTACCTACTCTGACCTGTCCCATAACCATCCTTCCTTCCAAACTACCCACCCTGCCACTCTGGCTTGTGCCCCTGCTGTCTCTAAAACAGCCAATTGAAATTAGCTTTGACTGTGCAGCCTAACCTTAGCCAATAGGGGAAAAACACAGCAGTAGGGGCTACCTCCATCAGGAATAAGAACCCCTTCCCCTCCCTTGTCCTGGTGTGTGTTCACCCTTGTTCCATCTGTGAGTTGCACCCTTCTATAGAAGTAAAGTGCCTTGCTGAGGAAATTTATATTCATGTGCTATTTCTTTTGCAGCACCAAAAATTTACATATAACATCAAATGTTTGGGGAGACTAATTTGAGTAATAATAAAATCTCAGCCAGGCACAGTGACTCACACCTGTAATCCCAGCACTTTGGGAGGTTGAGATGAGCAGATCATGAGGTCAGGAGTTCAAGACCAACCTGGCCAATATGGTAAAACCCCATCTCTACTAAAAATACAAAAATTAGTCAGGCGTGGTGGCATGCATCTGTAGTCCCAGCTACAGGTATTGATCGACTTACCACCTATGCAACTTATGACCATTCGACTTTACAATTACAATCGTTAGCCACCACTGCTCCGCGTCTGGCAGCGCAAACGTTGCCCAGCTGGGTGTACGACAGTGCGGACCAGCTTCCGGCAGCACTACCATCTCTGCGTGCGCCATTTCAACTGTACATATAGCCTACTCAACTTAACGACCAAATTGTGTTACGACTGGTCAACGGTCCTGACCATGGTCGTAAGTCGAGCACTAGCTGTACTTGGGAGGCTGAGGCAGGAGAATTTCTTGAACCCAGGAGGCAGAGGTTGCAGTGAACCAAGACTGCACCACTGCACTCCAGCCTGGGCAACAAACAGAGATGCCATATTAAAATAATAATAATAATAAAACTCTGGTTTCCCACTCAGCCAGTTCTGCTTGACTTACTCTTTCCCTATTGTAATTCCCCAGTCCTGAGAAATCAACTCTGTCGAGGCAGCGGGTAAGGAGGCCCCACTGAGAGGCTGCAAAGGGAGGCCTCCTGGAATGGATGATTCCTGACTTGTGTCGCTGCTATCAGAATCTGGTAGACAAGATGGGAAGGGGATGAGACGTGTACCAAACATTGGAGAGGTCAAGAGGAGGGTTATAGTCCTCTTTTGGAGTGTCTTAAAATGGTTTCCCTTTTTGAAAACTCTTGGAGTTCTCCCCTTAAAAATCTCTTGACTTTAAAATTTCTTTCAACATGGAGCACATCGTAAACCAGAAAATAAGAAAACCAGAATAAGCTGAAGCAAAACAGCTCCCCTGCCCCAGGGATGAAGCAATCAACAAAAACAGTGCTTTGAGGATCTCATGTCTGCAGCATCTCAGAAAAGACCCTTGACCTGTGGGGCCCAGAGACACCTTCTTAGTTTATAGCTATCCTTAAAAACAGAAAGTCCATTACTACAGCCGCAGCTGGGCTTAACACACAGCCATCAATCAGTGATTGGCTAAAATATTTTTGGAGGAGCAATCAGAGTGAAAGACACTTAAGGGCCCTGGTGGGTATGGGCAGCCACTTAAATCAGCCCCTAACAGCTAGTTTGCTAGAAATTTGATCAAATGCTTTTTGTCTTCTCCACTATGTATGAAATTGAAGACATGACCTGCAGACCAAGATGACCAGAAAAAAGAAACATTAGTTCCCCTGGACCATAGTTTAAATTTCTCAGTGATGTTATCTCTTGGGGAAAAAAGAAAAAACTCACACTTGAATCAGTCTAGGCCAAAAGCCCTTGAGAAAGCAACCTTGCCCTCTCCAGTTCCCCTGCCCTCTTGAGAAAAGCAACACAGAGGGCCTGAAACATTGATATGCAAGTCACTCTCAAGCTATGAGTCAGTTTTCTTCTCAAAGCAATTAGCAATTACCAGCATTTATTCAGTGAATGGGAGTCAGGCAAACAGACAGGCTCTGAAAGTCTGTCATTATTGCAACAAAAGAATCACAGCTTTTATCCTCCCAAGAGGAAGTTAAGACTTTAGAACTCTTCAACTTTCAAGCTTACACACTCCCCAGACCTATGATTTATTTCATCATCAACTTTAAGAATAATATGAAGTTTATCCATTTATTTTATTTTATTATTTTTTTGAGAAAGAGTCTCATTCTGCCGCCCAGGCTGGAGTGCAGTGGCACTATCTCAGCTCACTGTAACCTCCATCTCCCAGATTCAAGTGGTTCTCCTGCCTCAGCCTCCTGAATAGCTGGGATTACAGGCATGTGCCACCACATCTGGCTACTTTTCGTATTTTTAGTAGAGATGTTGGCCAGGTTGGTCTCGAACTCCTGATTTCAGGTGATCCACCCACCTCAGCCTCCCAAAATACTGGGATTACAGGGGTGAGCTCCCCTGCTCGGCTGTATTTTTGAGGTGCTATTTGCAGATGAGCCTTCCAAGAATCATATGCAGCTACAGATAGGGCAAAAAGAGACTATCATTAATTATAGATGTACAGGTCAACCCACAGAGGGCACTCTGCCTGCATTCCCCGCCCTACTGATGGCCTGCCAGGAGAAGATGCCCTTTCTGCAAACTTCCTACAGATTGCATCCTATTGGCCACTCCTTAACTACTCAGATGCTGTTTTTAATGTGGCCAAGTCAATTCAAGAGTTGCTTGTCACATGTCCATTTGAGGCCAGCACTAGATGCTGAGACTGAATGAATGACTCATGCATGGGCCCAGCTCTTCAGTACTAGACTTACGGTTTGACCAGAGCCTCAGTCATGGAGCCAAAGTAAAACCGGAATTTTCACTCCCTGGTGGCCACATGATTAAGATTTGTCACTCTCAAACTGGAATCAGATCCACCCCTAACTCTTACCGGATACATGATTTTGGGCAATGCATTTAACTACTCTGAGCCTAGGTTTAGTTTTCTCATTCATCGGAAAGATAAACCCTACCTCACATAAAAGAGATAACGTACTTAAAGCACCTTCCCTGATGCTCGGTGCATGGACAGCATGTGTTAATGTGATAAATTACCCACTTATCCCAGGCTTTACCAGCTGGTGAGTATAAATATTCTTACCGTTAGCTTACCCCTAAGTCTCAGTGCTCTATCCCCTAGATCCATCATGCCAAAACTCCAGTCCTTTCCATTAATTTCCTCCCACATTATTTCCTCTTGGAGGCCTTGGTGGGGGTGGGGCTGGTGGAATTCGCAGCAGCCCTGTGGCCTGAAGTTGGTCTGAAGTACGGCAGAATTCTCTGTGAAGTCCCCAAATTTGAGTCTCAGCTAATTTATCAAGTTTATTTTGCAAAGGTTGAGGACATGCACCCGTGACACGGCCTCAAGCAGGTCCTAAGGTATGTGCCCAAGGTGGTCAGAGCACAAGTTGGTTTTATACACTTTAGGGAGACATGAGTCGTCAATCCACGTATGTAAGATGAACATTAGTTTAGTCCAGGAGGGCAGGACGACTCTAAGCGGCTTCCAAGTCACAGGTAGGTGAGAGACAAACTGTTGCATTCTTTTGAGTTTCTATTAGTCTTCCCAAAGGAGGCAGTCCGATATGCATTTATCTCAATAAGCAGAGGGATGACTGAACAGAATAGGAGGCAGGTTTGCCCTATGCAGTTCCCAGACTAAATTTTCCTTTTAGTTTAGTGATTTTGGCAGCCCAGAATATTTGCCTTTCACATCTCCCAATCCATAAGCCTCAGTTCCTGCCTCACCTTGTGCCTCTCATGACCAAGTTTTACACAAGAGATTCCTAGTAGATCTGAGGTACTGGTATCATCATTGATTTCTCCTCTCCTGAGTTCTCAAGCATTTGAAAGGCGGAAAAGATGCAAATCGCCCAATTCTCACACTCTGGACCTGTCATCTGTCCCCTCCAACCTCTGACCGTCTCTACCGGGCTTGTGTTACAGTAGGTCAGGCATGAGCAGGGCAGGAAAGGGCTCCCGCACACCCCACCAGGAAAGTCAGGTGATGGTCAAGCAGTCGTCACACTGCCTCTCTAAAATAGCAATAGGTCGCAGCCAGCACCAGAGTGAAGCAATTTCCCCACAGATAGTAACACCTGACATTGGTCAACAGCAGCTTTCAATAAGATCCCAGGAATTGAGTGAGTGGGCTCAAGTGTGCACATTTAGAGTAAAAATGGTGAAGTATTGAGGAAAGAGACCCAAGTACCTAAGATCACCTCCCCCTTGACTGCCACACTGCATTTCAATAGAAGAAAAGGCTGGCCGACTGGCACCTCCTTAGCCACCTCCCTACAGATGGCAGGCATAGTATGGGGGAATCTCTCCAGAGGCATTGTTTTTACATAAACAAGATCAAACTCCCACTCCACTCCTCCTCCGTTGACCAGGACCCTTTCACATATAATTTCTAAAACTGTAAACCTAAGACCCTTTCACATGTAATTTCTAAATCTGTAAACCCAAGACCCTTTCACATGTAAGGTCTAGAGTTGTAAGCCTATATAAAGGCAGAGCTTCTCTTTGTTAGACGAGTTTGACTGTTAGACAAATATGTTGCCTTGCTCCCAGCCGAAATAAATCACCTCTTCCTTCCTAGTTTGGCATCCAAGAGGTCTGTTTCTCATGGCCGCTCCTGCTTCAGTATGACTTTCCACGGACATTCCACCAGAAAAGGGGAGAACACCTCAGGTGAGCATGTTTACAACTCCAGTACACACACTGTGTACACCTGCCACCCAGGGACTAGTAGGCCACTGCACATGCGGGCAGCTCACCCTTAAGGGAAGAATCAAAGGAAAGGGGTGCAAGACCCAGTAGTAGACCAGCATAGAAAATCCTAGGTCCAAGGTCAAATGGGGCACTTGTCCTTCAAGTCGCCTTCCTGGGCCTCTTCCAAGTGTACTTTCCTCTCTTTCATCCCTGCTCTAAAGCTTTTTAAGAAACCTTTTTCCTGCTCTGAAACTTGCCTCGGTCTCTTTTTCTGCCTTACACCCCTCAGTCAAATTCTTTCTACTAAGAAAGCAAGAATTGAGCTTGCTGTAGACTTGCACAGATTCACCTCTAGGAACTCACATAACTTCCACTGTTAACACTTGGCTTTCTAGCCTTGCAGTCCATGGCCTCTGCTACTCCTCTCATTCTCTAATCCAGCCTCATCTGAGGTTCCCCTAATTCCATCAAATAGCTGTAACCTAGCTGAACCCTAAAGGAGAACCACTTCCTTCTCACAATTCTTCCAGCTCCTATACCAGTTGGAAAGTGTTTTGAGCTCCCTGGACATTCTCTGCCTGGAGTAGAGGAACTTCAGCCAGACTAATAGAGTCACATTTCTAACATATAAGAAAAAAATGGTCACTAATATAGACATATGTATATGCACACAAATGCACAGATGTAATATGTGTTTAATGAAAAGTACTTTAATATTATTTTGATTGCTTTTCTACAGTAAGCCAAACTGCTTATATGAATTAGAAGCAAATTTTCTAACATGTGTGCCACAAAAGAAAAGCACTTGAACATAAATTTTCTCAGCAAGACAATTATTACTTCTATAGAAAGGTGTGTCTCATGAATGCAGCAATGGCAGGAGCATACCTGAACAAAGGAGGGGAAGGGGTTCTTATCCCTAACACAGGTAGCCCCTACTGCTGAGTCATTCCCCTATTGGCTAGGGTTGGACTGCACAGTCTAAGCTAATTCCAATAAGCTATTTTAAAGAGATCAAGGGTACGAGCCAGACTGGTGGGCTGAGCAGTTTTGGCAGGAAAGACAGCTACCGAACAGGTAACTAAAGGTGACTCAGGTCAGAGCAGGTGACCAGGGGAACAGATGTGAACTACTGATTAGAGCTAGCAGGAAAACTGTTTACTGAAACTAAGGGCAAGGAGATGAAGAGAATGAGGAAGTTAAACTTTAAAATGGAGAACAAAGAACACAGAAACTGAACATACTGGCATACTGATTCTTTGAAGAGAAATTTGGATTTCACTGTATTCAACATGTGTCTATTAATACACCTGGTATTTTTCTGAGTTCACTCCTCTGTCACACTGTACCTAAGACTAGCATACCTAGTCCTTCTCTCACTCTTGCTCCATCTATACCAATATCTCCAAATGCAGCTTAAACTTCGTCTCCTCCATGAAGCCCTCCTTATCCACTGCAGAACACAATCCTCTCTTCTTCATCTACATTTATTAAAATTATTATTCATGATGTGATTTGACAATGAATTTATTCTTCTTCAGGACAAGAAAGGAAGTAAAGAGTAAGTAACAAAATGATAGAGTGAAGTGTAAGAACATAAATTGCCTTCTCTTGTGTAAACTACCAGGAAGGGAGTTTGGAGAGAGATGAATGCTATGTTTCAATGTTTGTCCCCTTCAAAAATCCCCATGTTAACATTTAGTTGCCTTTGTTACAGTGTTGACAGGTAGGACTTTTAAGAGGTGATTGGGCTATGAGGACTTCACCCTAACAAGTGGGATTAATCTCAGTTTAAAAGGGCAAGTTTGGTCCTAAAACAAGACTCTGGAATTTCTACTTGTGGAAAGATGGAGTAGATATACTTTTCCTTACTTCTACTACAAAATACCACACACACACACACACACACACACACACACACACACACTCACACACACACCTGAAAACATAAATACAACAGAGAATATCACTAAAATAAAAAGGCAGTTATCTGACAAAAGCAATAAAATTGACAACCCTTTAGCAAGACTGACAGAGAGAGAGGTGGGTGGGGGGAGGGGGAAGGACACAAATTACCAATATAAGAAATAAGAAACAAAACAAGGTTTTCAGTACAGACCTGCAGATATCAAAAGGATAATAAAGACATACTATAATTAATTCAACAAAAAGAAATTTAGCAACTTACATAAAATGAACCAATTCTTCAAAAATCACAAACTACTACAAGTCACCCAATATGAAATAGATAATTTGAATACCCTTATAAGTATTAAGGAAATAGAATTTATGTTAAAATTCTCAGAGAAGATGTCTCCCAGCCCAGATAATTTCGCTGAATGCCTCTACCAAATGTTTAAAGAAGAATAGCTGGGCACGGTGGCTCACACCTGTAATCCCAGCACTTTGGGAGGTCGAGGCGGGCAGATCATGAGGTCAGGAGTTTGAGACCAGCCTGGCCAATATAGTGAAACCCCGTCTCCACTAAAAATACAAAAAAATCTAGCGGGGCATCACAGCACGTGTCTACAGTCCCAGCTACTCAGGAGGCTGAGGCAGGAGAATTGCTTGAACCTGGTAGGCAGGGGTTGCAGTGAGCTGAGATTGCACCACTGTATTCCAGCCTGGGCAATAGAGGGATACTCCATCTCAAAAAAAAAAAAAGGAAGAAAAGAAAAGAAAAGAAAAATTAACATCAATTTAATATCAATTCTACACAATCTCTTTTAGAAAACAGAAGAGAACACTTCCCAATTCACTTTCAAAGCTACTGTTATATTGATACTCAAACAAGATCAAGACAGTGCCAAAAAAATTTACAGACCAATATCCATCCTGAATATAAAAGTGAAACTTCTTAACAAAATATTAGCAAATAAGGTTCAGCAACATTTTTTTTTCTTTTTTTGAGACAGAGTCTCACTCTGTCACCAGGCTGGAGTGCAGTGGCACATTCTCAACTCACTGCAACCTCCGACTCCTTGGTTCAAGTGTTTCTCCTGCCTCAGCCTCCTGAATAGCTGGGACTACAGGTGCCCACCACCATGCCAAGCTAATTTTTATATTTTTAGTAGAGAGAGTGTTTCACCATGTTGACCAGTATGGTCTCGATTTCCTGACCTTATGATCTGCCCGCCTTGGCCTCCCAAAGTTCTGGGATTACAGGCATGAGCCACTGTGCCCAGCCAAGACCCTGTCTCTTAAAAAAGAAAATAGCCGAGTGTGGTGGCTCATGCATGTAGTCCCAGCTACTTGAGAGGCTGAGGCAGGAGTATCCCTTGAACCCTGGAGTTCGAGGCTACGGTGAGCTATAATCATGCTATTGCAGTCTAAGTGACAGAGTAAGACCTGGTCTCAAAAAATAAAATAAAATAAAAACTAAAAAATTATGTATGCAAAGGTGCAACAGGGCCAATATTTTAATTGATTTAATTATAGAATCAGGTTTCCACAATACCTGCATTTAAAGACAAAGCATTACAAAATCACTTTTGAGAATCAAGTATCATCAAGCAAAGGGTAATTTAGGCCTTAACATCTTAGGTTGATGATCTGCTTGGTGTCATGTCAGACTGATGGATTTGACCTAGTCTGTAGCCTCTTCCTCCAAGACAGCATGAGGGCGCTTTTCTGAATGGATGTTGATGTTGAAATACAAGTATAAATACAGAATTTCCATAGGTTCTGACCTGTGAAACCACAACCTGAACATTAGATTTGATATTTCTTTCTCTTTTTTTGACAAAGTCTCACTCTGTCACTCAGGTTGGAGTGCAGTGGCTTGATCTTGGCTTGCTGCAACTTCTGCCTCCCAGGGTCAAACAATTCTTGTGCCTCAGCTTCGTGAGTAGCTGGGATTACAGAGGTGCGCCATCACACCCAGCTAACTTTTTGGTGTTTTTGTAGAGATGGGGTTTCGCCATGTATCCCAGGCTGGCCTCAAACTTCTGGCCTCAAGCAATCACCCACCTTGGACTCCCAATGTGTTGGGACTACAGGGGTGAGCCACCACGCCTGACCGTATATTTGTTATTTCTCTTCAAACGAGCAAACCAACCTGGATTTACAACTAATTCCTTGATGCCAATCTACTTGTTTTTCCAGTCATGTGTTCTAGGAAGGCATAAACACAGCATCAACGCTGAAGTCTCTTCTGAGCATATCTTGGCAGTTCTAGCCAGAGTAGGAGGTGTGGGCAAGGGACAAAATTCCCAGGCAAACAGGGTGCCTGGATATTTAGCACATTACTGTCTTCCTGCCAAAGGCTCTTGCTGTGGATGTTGCTGATGCCTTGCCCAGATCCCTTTACCTGGCCGGAGCTTTCATTCCCCAGTGGCTATGAAGTTTTGAGGCTAATAGCACTTTCCTTTTCCAGAGAATTTCCCTAAGCTACATGAAAGCCACCCAGGTCAGGAGGTTATGCTTCCCATCCCCAACCGTGGCGGCCACAACCAATGACTGACTGACGTGGTGCAAAAGGCCCTACCCCTCTCTTGCCCTTGTCTCAGGACAGAAGAAATTCTGTGGTAGGATACGTGCTCCAGGGCTTCCCCCAGGGACCAGGCTGAACCTGGTCCACGGCTGAGGTCACAGCCTTGCTTAGCTTCCCCATCCCCTTGTCCAGTCTTGCTTCCCTCACTCCCTTCTGAAAGCATTCCTTCAGTAAATCGCTTTCCCAAGACTCTGTTTCTCAGGCTTTGCTTCCTAGCCTAAGATGGTTAGTACTGGGAGGTTGCAGGATGCAGACTCTAAGGATGGAATTAGAGAGGTGGGTGCTGCTTGGTTGCAGAGCCAGCAGCATGGCAGTGGGGACAACACCTCCTGTGGTCTGTGGTTGTTGAGGCTTTTACCTGCCATGAACTGAGGCAATACATGGGAGGAGGAGAGCGGACCAGCCAGGGCAGTGTCTCTGGTGTTTGACAGCTGCAGGGAAAGCAGACGCTGAGTGCCGTGGATGCCTCGAAGAGAGGAACAGGCTGAGATAACAGGCTGCAGTCTGTTAACAGTTCAAAGCAAAGTGTTAGAGAGTCGCTCTTTGGGCAACATTGAGAGAGGTACAAATGATTAATAGCTATCTTCTGTAGTCCAAAGGCAGAAAGAGTTGAAAATCAGGTACAAGAGTGGCAGAATTTCAAAGAAGGTTAAACTCTCAGCCAGTCTTCAGTATCAAAGTCAGGATTGTGACAAGGACAGGGCAAGGCCCTGAGACTTGGAACGGGGATGCATGGGTGAAGAAGCTTGAGAAGGCTGGGCACAGTGGCTCACAGCTGTAATCCCAGCACTTTGGGAGGCCAAGGCAGGTGGATTGCCTGAGGTCAGGAGTTCGAGACCAGTCTGGCCAACAGAGTGAAACCAGTTTTGTATTTTGTCTTTACCAAAAATACAAAAAATTAGTTGGGTGTGGTGACACATGCCTGTAATCCCATCTACTCGGGAGGTTGAGACAGGAGAATTGCTTGAACCTGGGAGGTAGAGGTCACAGTGAGCTGAGATCATGGCATTGCACTCCAGTCTGGGTGGCAAGAGTTAAACTCCATCTCAAAAAAAAAAAAAAGAAGCCTGCGAAAATACCCCAAGTTCACCTGAGATGCCTGATTCTGCAACAGAGGTGGACTCCTCCTTATTGGGATATAGGGCTCCAAGCCCCAGGCTTGAAAACTACCCAGAGGATTCCCATGAGGCAGTGACCTTATAAGACAATGCCTGTCCTTGCTAGGCTCTCTTCTAATTACCCCATCTTGGCTGCCCGATTTGTCAGTAGGACCAATCAGTATTAGCCAATGGGGGAAGGGCTAGTCTGACTGAAGGAGGCAGGCACTTATATATCAAATAACTGCAGAACCTTCTGACTCACTGGCAGGAACCAGGAGTATATACTGAAGGTTGGATCAAAGGGAGCAAGGACGAAATATCAAGCAAGACAAGGAAGAGGTTATTAGTGTAGGCTTCATATACGATCCCTGGTGTCCGCCACAGGAATTTGTGCTGGGGAAAGAGTCCTGGGAGACTAATACGCTGCTGAAATGGCCCTCCTTGAAAGCCTAGAAAATTATATTCCAAATTTAATGAAGACGGGTTGTCAGAACGGCCAGGCAGATTGTGGAGGGAGGGGTGTAAGTGTCCAGAGAAGTAGGGGAATAACTAAAAAAATTGAATTATAAGAGCAGGAAACCCACTAGCAGATAATGTGCCTTGGTGGAACATTATTTGCCAAAGCAATTGGGATATGCTGGTGAGGAGCTATAGCATCATTAAAGAGCTTGTGGTGGCTGTCACGTTGTCAGTAGGAGATGCTGTGAGGGAAAATAACTATCTAGAAGCAATGGGGATGACAGAACTCTGGAATGGTGGAGGCCAGATGGTAGCAGTTGATAGTCATAAGCAAGGTATTCAGAACTACTGTCATAGGCACGAGGCTGGGATGGCAACCTGGCGCCTTGACCATATGGGACCAACCATAGGGATCTTGGGAGATTGCTACACACACACACACACACACACACAGTCCAGAATGGATGTGCAGAAGGGCGAGGTCAGCTGCCTCAAAAGAAACTCACGATCCCTTGTTCCGTTTCTAGACCTAACCCTCAAGAAGAGGCTGTTTCTCGTGAGAAAGATGATTTTAACACCACCATGTGACATGGTTAGGCTTTGAGTCCCCACCCAGATCTCATCTTGAATTGTAGTTCCCACAGTTTCAAATGTCATGGGAGGGATGTGGGGTAGGTAACTGAATCATGGGGATGGTTACCCCCATGCTGTTCTTGTGATAGTGAGTGTGTTCTCACAAGATCTGATGGTTTTATAAGAGACTTCCCCCACCTTTGCTCTGCACTTCTCTCTCCTGCTGCAGTGGGAAGAAGGGCGTGTGTGCTTCCGCTTCTGCCATGATTGTAAGTTTTCTGAGGTCTCCCTAGCCATGTGGAACTGTGAGTCAATCAAACCTCTTTTCTTTATAAATTACCCAGTCTTGGATCTGTCTTCACAGTGGCGTGAAAATGAACTAATATACCACGAGACAAGATACAAGCAATTCCCCTAGTCTTTCCCAAAGTAACCTATAACAATTTACTTTTGTACAGTAGGGAAGGGAAATATATGAATCTTTCAAGGAAAATTGAATACAGTGGCCAAATTGTCCCTGCTTCCTAGGAACTACTCTAAAAATATCATGGCCTCTGTGTTAAGGTAGAGGTATACAGAAGTCAAGTAATAAATGACCCATGTTCTCACTGGTTTCTAAATGTATAATTGGAATAGCCAGACCTAGCAGTCGTAAGAACTCTCATGTTGGTTCTTTGACCAATAATAGCAATCACAAGCCAAATAGAGAGAGGCCAAATAGAAGTTTTTGAAGTTGCTTCTCTCAGGAAAGATAGTAAATAAAAATCCATATTGTATCTAAGGGGACTAGCAGAGATTAATGCCACTCTTAATGACTTTAAGAATACAAGAGTAATGGTCCCCTTAAAATGTATTTAAGAATGTAATACATTCTTAAAATGTATTTAAGAATACAAGAGTAATTGAATCTATTCAATTCACCAGTTTGATATCTGAAACACTCAGCTAGACAGGGCAAATTACAGTAGGTTCCTGAAAACTCAACAAAGTTATAGCTCCACTTGTAGCTACTGGGAGGGGTGGGATGTGGGATGTTAGATGCGAGATTTTCCTAGAGCAGATTATGGCCTCAAGTGCATAGGCTTTGGCTAGGTGAGCACATTCTTTTCAATAACCATCATGAAGGAGTTTCAGAGACATCTTACATTTATACAGAAGGAGTGACAATATGCATTTATGGTCTTGCCCGAGAGCCATATTAATTCTCCAGCTATGTGTCATAATGTAGTCAGAAGGGACCTGAACCATTTGGACATTCCACAGACTGTTACATTGATTCACTCTATTGATGATATCATGTGAAAAACACTAAGAACTTGATGAGTAAGAAGTGGCATGTACTCTGAAGACTATGATTAGATATAATAACCCCAGAGAGTGAGTGAGAAACTCTACAAAGATTCTGGGGCCTGCCAGATGTGAGAAATATTTAGAGGTCTAAGGAGCTAAGCAAGCCAGGGCATTTCATCCAATGTAAAGGGCAAGTTATTGCACCTTGCACTTCTACCACAAAGAAAGAAGCATTATACTTGGTGGGGCTGTTCAAGTTTTCTTGGCAACGTATTCTTTACTTAGGAAGATTGTTCTGACTTTATTCATTAGGTGATATGGGAAGCTTCCTGTTTGGGGGGTGGAGCCTGGGACAAGAATGGTCTGTACAGTGGGAACAGGTTGTGGTATAACTAGTCTTATTTTTTGAGCCATATGGCTTAGTAGATCCCATGGTAGTAGAGATAGATACAGTCCAGAAACAACATGGAGTCCATGGCAGTCTCCAATAGGGGAGTCACAGGACAGATCCCTAGGGCTCTGGAGAAAGACTATGCCATTTGTAACAGAGAAAGGGCCCCCACTAGAAGTAGATCCTGACGCGCTGTGTAGCCCTGGCAGGCACAACCATGGTAGAGTGTTTACAGGGACTATCAGCTAACATTGCTGTTTCTTAATAGAAGAGGGAAGAGTATGGTTGGCACTCACATGACCCACTGGGGTGCCTCTTGGTATGCCTGTGTCCACACTCAGTTATAACTTGCCCTGTGAAGCAACTGGCCTGATAAGTATATGGTGAACAGGGGGTCAAAAAGCTCAGGGATGAGGGCCTGGGACACAATAAAGCAGAAATGCAAGTGAAGGAAAATCTAGAACGTGTTGTGTAGGAGGGAGATCATGTATCACCTAAAGCTTTAGGACCAAATGCACCACATGGCTGTAGTTCATCACCCTAATTTGCCTTTTGGAAGTTTCCTCAGAAATCATGACAGTTCCTACGTAGCAAACAATATGAAAAGCAAGAGAACCTGGGCAAGACAAGAGATGGACTCCACTGGGTGTCGATAGCGATCTGTTTAGATCCCCTTATCCAGGCAGATGGACCCAAATTACAGTGAATGGTGGCTGCTAACCACTCCCCATTGCCTCCTCCTCCAGAACTTGGCCTCTGGTTGAATAGCAGCTGCCTCCCTGGAGTGGATGCCCTTCTGCTCCCCTTCCCACCTCTCCCTCAGCAGCCAGTGACCAATAACTGATTTATGCAGAGTACAAAAGTCTATTTCCCTTATCTTAAGACAGAACCAGCTCTCTGGTGCAACGTGGACTCCAGAGCTGCCCTCAAGACTAGATGGAAGCTGGTTTCGCCCCAGACTGTTTTGTTACTTAGCTTTCTTTCCATGCCCCACCCTCCTTCTCCAATGCCCCTTCTTCTAAAGCCCACCTCAATCCATCACTTTGACAAAAATCCCCATCTCTGGCCCCATCTCTTCTCTGGACCCTGACCTAGGACACTTACCCACCCCTCTGTATGGCTCTTCCATATGGGGTACCCTTGTGGTTCCATGCTTATAAGGGTACCCAGGGGGTACCTTATGCTCAGCATATTGAGGATGATACTGTGTTTCTTCTTGCACCCTAGTTTGTCAGCCTTGAGAATGAAACTAGAATGCAAATGTTCTTTTTCCCTAACCTGTCACCTTGATGTATCCATTATGAGTGGATATCAGAATCATTCACCAGCAATCACACAACATATTGTAAATACCGATTTTATATGTAGTGCAGAAAGCACTTCATTATATACCTTAAAAATTTTTGGCTGGAATTTAAGTATTATCCACCATTAGAAATTATTGATCAGAGTAGGTGGTAGATTTCCTCTTCCACTTTCCTTTTTTTTTTTTTGAGACAAAGTCTCATTCCGTTGCCCAGGCTGGAGTGCAGTGGTGCAACCTCGGCCCACTGCAAGCTCTGCCTCCCGGGTTCAAGTGATTCTTGCACCTCAGGCTACCAAGTAACTGGGATTACAGGCACCCACCACCAAGCTCAGCTAATTTTTTTATGTTTAATAGAAAAAGGATTTCACTATGTTGACCAGGCCGGTCTCAACCCCCTGACCTAAAGAGATCCGCCTGCCTCCCAAAGTGCTGGGATCACTGGTGTGAGCCACCGTGCCCAGCCCACTTTCTTTCTTTACTTAAACATCTAAGTTAACCAAATGTCTCTTTCTAAAGGCACTGACTTGCTGAGATGCTCCATATAAATATTGCCTTCTTGTTGGGCCATTTCATCAAGGACAGTGTGATACTTTTTAAATACAGTGTGAGGATTATAAGCCTTATGAATCAAAGTTTATTTTTCATTTTTTGCCTATAGATGTCCAATTGCTCCAGCACCATTTGTTGAAAACACTTTTTTCTTCATTTAATTGCTTTCATACCTTTGTCAAAAATAAGTTCGGCATATTTATATGGGCTTATTTCTGGGTTTCTGTCTCTGTTCATTTGATCCATGTCTCTTATCCCTCTGTCGAAACCACACATCTTTGATTTCTATGGCTACATAAGTATCGAAATGGAGCAGACTGCTGCTTCTTCCCAATTTATTCTTTTTTCAAAGTGTTTTAGCTATTTTAGTTCCTTGCCTGAACTTTCATGTAAATTTTAGAATAATCTTGCCTATATCGACAAAACCCATTGCTGGGAAAAACCTGTATATCAATTTGGGAAGGCTTGACATCTTTAGGACGCTGAGTGTTTCAGCCTATGAATAATGTGTGTCTCTCCATTTATTTAAATCTTTTTGATTTCTGTCATCAGTGTTTCATAGGTTTTAGCATATGAGTCCTGTATGCTTGTATTAGAGTAACACCTATTTCATTTTTTGGGTGATTGTAAGTGGTATTATATTTTTAATTTTGCTGTCATGTGTCCATTGCAAGCATATGGAAATACAATTGATTTCTGTGTCTGTTCACCTTGAATTCTGTGATTTTGCTGAGCTCCCTTATTAGTTCTAGGAGGGTTTTTGTTTTTTTTTTCTTTTAAGATTTCTGAGGATTTTCCACACAGACCATCACAATTATGTCAACTGCCAACAGAAGTTTTTGTTTGTTTCCTTCTGAACTATGTGACTTTTATTTCCTTCTCTTGTCTTATTGCACTGGCTAGAACTTCCAGCATTCTGTTAAGTGACAATAGTAAGAATGATATTGTTGCTTTGTTTCCAATGTTTAGGGAGAAAACATGCAGCCTTTGACCATTAAGTATAATTGTAGCAGGAGTTTTTTGGTAGATTCTTTAGAAATCTAGTTGAAGAAGTACATATTGCCACCTATTCTTATTTTTCTGAGAATTTTCATCATGAATAGATTTTAAAGTTTGTCAAATGAATTGTATGTACCGATTGATATAATAATGATTTTTCTTGTTTTACTGTTGATGTGGTGAGTTTCTTGATTTATTTTGAATATCAAACCAGCCTTGCTTCCTGGGAATAAATTCCACTTGGTCATGGTGCATAAATCTTTTTTTTTTTTTGAGACAGAGTCTCGCTCTTGTTGCTCAGGCTGGAGTACAATGGCTCAATCTTGGCTCACTGCAACCTCTACCTCCCAAATTCGAGCGATTCTGCTGCCTCAGCCTCTCGAGTAGCTGGAATTACAGGCACCCACCACCATGCCCAGCTAAGTTTTTGCATTTTTAGTAGAGACGGGGTTTCACAATGTTGGCCAGGCTGGTCTCGAACTCCTGACCTCAGGTGATCCACTCACCTTAGTCTCCCAAAGTACTGGGATTACAGGCATGAGCCACTGCGCCCAGCTCATGGTGTATAATGCTTATTAAATGTTGCTGAACCGGCTGGGCACGGTGGCTCACGCCTGTAATCCCAAAACTTTGGGAGGCCAAGGTGGGCGGATCATGAGGTCAGGTGATCGAGACTATCCGGGCCAACATGGTAAAACTCCGTTTCTACTGAAAATACAAAAATTAACTGGTCATGGTGGTGGGCGCCTGTAATCCCAGCTACTCAGGAGGCTGAGGCAGGAGAATTGCTTGAACCCAGGAGTCAGAGGTTGCAGTGAACCGAGATCACTCGACTGCACTCCAGCCTGGCATCAGAGTGAGACTCCCTCTTAAAAAAAATAGAGACAGGGTCTCATTATGTTGGCCAGTCTGGTCTCAAGGTCCTGCCTTCAAATAGTCCTCCCACCTCAGCCTCCCAAAGTACTGGGATTGCAAACGTGAGTCAGGACTCCCAGCACACGATTTCTTAAAAGCCAGACATTTCCTGCTTTTCCCCTCATAAAGATGAAATTCTCTTTCCTGTGGTGAACATACTGATAAAGTCAAATTCAAGTTACATGGTGTGAAAAGGACTTTCATGCTTGTAGCTGAAACATGGAATTCCTGGGATTGCTGGAGGTGTTGCTGGTCCACCAGGACTTAGCAGGATATTTGTAGTGGGGATTTGGGGTAAACAGGATAGTGTCCAGTCCTAATCACTGGAACCTGTGTAGAGGCAACAAAGGGGAATTTAGGCTGCAAACCAACATACCTTAAAATAGATTATCCTGAATTACCCAAGTGATCCCGTTGTAATCACAAGGGACCTTAAAAGAGTCAGCCCCAGCCGGGCATGGTGGCCCACATCTGTAATCCCAGCACCTTAAGAGGCCGAGGTGGGCAGATCATCTGATGTCAGGAGTTCGAGACCAGTCTGCCCGACATAGCAAAACCCTGTCTCTACTAAAAACATGAAAAATTAGCCGGGAGTGGTAGCGGGTGCCTGTAATCCCAGCTACTCACAAGGCTGAGGCAGAATTGCTTGAACCTGGGAGGCGAAGGTTGCAGTGAGCCAAGATTGTGCTACTGCACTCCAACTGGGTGACAGAGCAAGACTCTGTCTCAAAAAACAAAAAGAAAAAGAAAAAGAAAAAGAAAAAGAAAAAGAAAAAGAAAAAGAAAAAAAAACAGGTCAGTCCCGGGAGGAGTGGGGTGTACCTGTAACCCAGGGAGAGGGCAAAGAAATGGATTCTCCCTCAGAGCCTCCACAGAGTGCAACCCCCCCCGAACTGTAAGATCACAAATGTGTTGAAGCTGCCCTAATTGTGGTCATTTGCTACAGCAACAATAGGAAATAATATGAGATTGTTCCAGAAATCAGGAAATGCATAGTACCTGTGCTTTTTACTAATCCCTTTGGTCTAAAATAATTTTGACTGCATCCACGTAGGAGCCTGGAAATGTTTGGTGGTAGCAGGACAAAGAGGACAGAAGGAAGAGCTTGGCTTGTGAGGTGAGAATTAGGAAAGAACAAGGAACAAAATGAAAAGTCTGCGTGTGTAGCCAGCAGTCAGGTAGCCTGAATCAGTTCAAATGCGGGCTGACTCCCTCTGATCTGTGGATCCAAAAGAAAGGCAATGTATTAGGCTATTTCATTATTTTCTTTGTTCATTTTCAAATAAATATCTCATATGTTTTAAGGAGCTTGTGTACCACAATTTGTAACTTTTATAATATGCAAATTTTAAAAATTATTTAAATAAAATGTGGATGCCTAGAAATAATAAGTAATATAATGTGCAAGTCAAATTGTGTGGTCCAATGGCAATTTTTGAAAAATATAAATATCACTGTGTTAATAAATGTGTAAATTGAGAACCACTGGAAAAGGCTACGTCAGTTACTGTTGAAATAAATTTCCAATAAAATGAGATATTTTATTTAAAAATAAAAACAAGCCTGGAAGCGATTTTGATGACTGCCACCAGAGGGCACTGTAACCTTTGCAGAAGATCAAAACGCAGCCATTAAACACTTCCCAGCCACAGGTTTATTTCTTTGAGAAAGCAACACGGCAGGGCAGAAAATGAACACCAGTAGTATATGTTAACTTTTTTTTCCTATGTTATTCTACTAGATTTTTTTTCTTATTTTTATTTTTATCTTACAAGTCAACCTCAAAAACATAAAGCAGGAGAGAAACGAGCCATGCCTCTTTTTTCAGTTTAGAGGGGTAGCTGACACAGAATGAAAGCACAAACTGAAGCTATCGTTTCCACATTAATATCTGGCCCCCAAACACCATGCAGTGCTAAAAGTTACGTTCCCATCATGCAAGCACATTAAAATACATGGCGATTACAACTCCTGGTTTTATTACACGGCATTTACTGTTTTGATGGGGCATGCTTCTTGTTTGAGCTAATGGTTAAAAAAAAAAAATACAGATCAGTGAAGTCTCCTTACAGCAAGAGAAATATATAAACCATTTCTTGACGAAGAATCCATTTTCAAAGTTTTCCATGTGGTTCTGGAAAGAATTAAGATGTGCAGAAGAGGCAAGGGAATTGCTTCCTGCCTCACGCCACAGAGAAACGCGTCTACTCAATATCTCATTCAAGGAGACTAGTGGCTTTCTGTGAGGGGAGAAATTATCCCCCTTCCCCAGTCCATGTCATGCAGGCTGCAAAAATTTTGTTTTGGGGTCTTTTATTTTTCAATGATGTGTTACAAAACCCTAGACAGGGCAGTTCTCTCCCATTGCTAGGACTCAATTTCTCCTGTGAGGTATACAAGAAAAACTGAAAGAGAAATAAACTGAAAAACCCCAATTGGGTATCATAGTTTTGTTAGACTGAAGAAGAAATACCCCCTAAAACTTTATGTGCATATGGCAGTTTTTCTGTACTTAACATTACTCAATCACTTATGTGGCTATATCAAAATACTGTCTTTCGGCCGGGTGCAGTGGCTCATGCCTGTAATCCCAGCACTTTGGGAGGCAAAGGCAGGCAGATCACCTGAGGTCAGGAGTTTGAGACCAGCCTGGGCAACATGGTGAAACCCCGGTCTCTAATATAATATAAAATATAAAAATTAGCCATGCATAATTCCAGGTACTCGGGAGGCTGAGCAGGAGGCAGGAGAATCACTTGAACTGGGAGGCAGAGGTTGCGGTGGGCCAAGATCCCACCACTGCACTCCAGCCTGCGCAACAGAGCGAGACTCCATCTCAAAAAGAAAAATAAAATGTCTTTCTTACTAAGAGTTAATGTGCCTATGAATTTAAACATGGCTTAAATTTGGATAGCACTTCTTTTCAAAAGACTTCAAAATATTTCTCTTTAAACCTGTTTCATCTCTGTGACATTGTTGGTGACTGGAATGCTACCTGAGGAAAAGGTCATAATTACATAAAAAGCAATTAGGAGAAGAAGGTCAAAGGACCAGCCTCTCATCACTAAGTTGGGTCTCTGACATCTGACAGCACATGCCTCAAAAGGCAAACAAAATACACACTCTCCATTTCTTTAAACACACGTTTTCCATCCAAGGATCTCACAGCACCTCCCAAGTCATCTAATGTACAGAAGGAAAGAAAAGGAAACACAGCATGATTCGGTTAAACCCCAATTCATAGACAGGCTCCAGCAGGTTGCAGCAGGTCCATTAGAAAGAGAATGTATTCAAGCACAGAGAGGGCCCCTTAGGTTTCAAATGGAGAATTTAGCTTAACAGCCACTAGGGCCAGCCCTGTGCTGAGCCCAGTGTGAGGAAACATTCAGTGCAAGTCAAACTTCTTGGTTCCCCAGTGGGCTGTGCGCCAACAGCAACTTCACAAGGTAACAGGTGAAGTGAGGTGGGGGGTGGAGAGGAGGGAGGGGCAGGGAGCTGCTGGGAGTCTTGAGACTCAAATTCCCGTGTCACCACTAGAGGTTCTGGGCCAGGCACTTCACTGTTATAATCCACAATCATCTCACATGAAGCGTGGGCAGTGGGAGGGGTGGGGGAGCAAAGGGGGCTGAAAACTCACTAATTTGCAAACTACAAAGTGCTGTGTAAATATAAGGCATGGATTTCACATTGAAATCTGACTCCAAACACAATCTGTTTCTCTTTCTTCCTCTTCCTGGAGTCTTTGTAATCTTATACTTTAGGAGTCTTTCTAGGCCTTTGATCCTATGCTAAGATTTGAGCTGCTGTGACAAAACTAAGAATTCTTAAAAGCAACAGAGGCCCTTCAAATGCAGGCCTCAGTATGTCTATTGGTAATATACCAACCAGTGAGGGCATCACTTCAGACTCCACTTTGGGTCTACAGGCTAACAATAGAGGGGAAAGGTCCTCTTCACAACCCTGAAAAGGAGTCCTCTCCGAATCCTAATCCTTAGCAGGTGCCATAGATTTGGAACTACATGTGCTAATTCTCCACTTCCTTCCTGAGTAGCCATGGTTTTATGTCATTCCACGGCTCAAAGGCCCTATGGGACGGGGTATAGGGGTCTGCGCTTGGACCCCATGAAACTACCCCAAATGCATTTCAGAGGTGACCCAGTCTCAAGAAATGTACTGAAAGTAATCCAGTTTTCCCAATATTCTTTGGACCAGAAAAGTAGCTTGAAGCCAAAAGAGAGAAGTCCATGTCTTCCTACATTGAGTGTCATGGAAAGTGTCACCCACTCTCCCTCTCACTCCTGCCTATCACCCCACCCACCTCTTGGTGACCACAGCCTAAGCTGAGAACTCACAGAAGCCAGCCCTGCTTCTAGCACAACCTGATCAAAAGCAAAAGAATTTACAGGGGGAAAAACACGAATGAGCAGACAATGGGGCTTCAGAAAGGCTGGTGCAAAACTAAGCAGTTCAATGTAACTCTCACTTTGGAAAGTTCTGCAAAGTAAGCTTTAACTAACAAAGCAAAAACCTCTAGGCTAATGTTCTTGACGTGCCTTTGAAAAATAACTTTAAGACTTGGCTAAGTAATCCCAGGGATCTTTTTTGCCTTTAAGTTGGTGAAACATGGCTTCATGAAAAGCCAACGGAAAGCATTCAAAGGTATTCACAAACCCTGGTCAGAAGTTTCTGGAGCTCTTCAATTTAGGAAAAACTGGAAGTCTACAGGTTGGTGTTGCAAACCAAAGAAAAATAGGTGGAAGGGTACTTTGTGTCACACTGTTATTTCCACTATTGTTACGTGTCGTTCCTTCAGTACTCTTTATACTGCAAATCCTAAATAATCCCACTTCTGGTGTCGGCTAATCACTGAAGGAATCAGTCATTTCCAGGACCAAAAGGTTAAAATCACTGCTCTCTCAAGCCAGCGCATCAGGGTCCAACCTGAGGACCTGAATGTCTCCTCTGTCAGGGCACCACAGGTCAGACTCATCTTCAGTAGCTTCCCTAGGTGGAGAAGTACCCACATGTTTGCTGGGCCAAATCGATTGGCCTGGCCTCTTATCTTAAAGAAGCTTCTAGTAGTATAACTTGCTTCATTTTTTTTTTTTTTCCTTAATGCTAAGGTTGCTTTTTGTTTATTTGTTTGTTTACAGAGTATTAAGGCTTCTTAGTAAAGCTTGGGGTAAATATTCAACAACTATTTCCATTTTGTTCGCAGATATAATTCAGGTGGTTATTTCCATTTGAATGTCAAGCCACACTTTGAAACTATAAAGCAAAAGAGGTTATGTCAACAGTTTGTTAGGGTAGGTAGGGCCAGCATGGGTACTTGGTGGGTTGTGGCTCTTTTTATGGCGAGAAATATCCATGGTGATTAGTAGGGGAAGACTTTCATACTGTTTCTCTATGAGCTCTCTTTAACACAACAATTCCTAAATTTCTATTAGTCTTTAATGAAAAGATGACATTAGTTGTGTTGCATTTGGTCTAATGTTTTCAGGCATAAATGGCATAAACCTTAAAGTTTATTTAATAGAAAGGATCATCGAAAATGTAAGTCCTTTTCTGCTTAAGAGAGTGACTTACGAGAGATATAGAAACCTAAATCTAAGAGCTCAGGGGAATAGGGGTGGGAAGAAAAATAAAAATTATGAATGCATGCCCCACTTTTTCCCACAAGGTTTCCTGAGCATTCTTCATACAGTATAGTGCAACATCATAACACTAGTTAATCAACAGTATTTCTATTTTTCTCAAGCTAAAAGTATAGACTCATCAAATATATACTAAGCACAACATATAATAGTATATCATCTTTTAAAACACTAGTAATTTGAATTTCTATAAATATATTTAAATAACAAACATAGATAGCTGTTCACATAGCACACAAGTTACATATAAACATACAAAAATAAAACCATCATGTTTAACTCTTTTGTTGTTTCTGTCTGTTGGTTTTTGTTTTTGTTTTTTGAGTAAAGATATTAAAACAATTCCAATGCCAATGTCATCTTGTCAATATGAATTCCAGGCAATCTGGATATAAATTCACACTACGTATAAGAGCTTGTAGACATTCTTTGCTGGACCTATTACTATCTCCTACTGTTGATTAGGAAAGCTTGAAGGGAGTAGAGGTGTCCAACTGTGATGAGATGTTTTCTCTAGCTGTTGTAAGGAAAGGAAACATTAATCAGATCCCCTAACCTGCTTAAAGTGTGAAAACACCAAGCTGTCCTTTGAGTGAGCGGAATATGGAACACGCCCCATCCTTCAGCTCTCCCATGCGCCACTGTCTATGAAGTATTTCTCAACACGTGGAAAAGGCACCACCATTCTACACCAAAGACAAGGAATTTTTGTTCTGCAAATGACATTTGTTCTTCCAGTCACTGCTATAGAAAACATTCCTCCACTCAAAAAGTGATTTGGGCAACACAGCTGCTTAGCCAGGTGGAATACATAGTCTTCTTTTGAAAAACAGAATGTTTCCAAGGACAATTATTCCTGGTAAAATTTGATTTCTGTCCATAGCATTCTCTGGAGAGCAAGGAGCAGAAGATACATTTCTCACATCCCACCTAGATCCCCGCATCACCGTGAGCTCCCAGCAGGAACACAAAAAATGCCTTTCAACTGAACTCAATCATTCCAATCTCAATGGATGCGTTATGACTGAAACGAGGGGACCCGCTGTATTTGGGGATTATCTTCATCTAAAGTGCATCTTTAGATGGGGAGCTGATGCTTGAAGGACTGGGTTTCGGTTTTCCTTTTAAGGAAAAACGTAAGTTTTTGCAACATCTTGAAGAGTTGCTTGTGATAAAATGCAAGAGGAGAAAATTCTGATTTTGTCTCAAATGGAATCTTCAACACAGGGAGAAGAAGGTGATTCTTTGAGTTCCTGGGGGCTGTCGTCAGGGGCAGGCGTGGCCCGCTGCTGCTGATAGATGTCCTGGATCAGCAGGGTGTTCATGACTTTCCACTCTCTGTATTTCCTGGCTGTCAGCTTCGGGTCATCCAGTAACTGGTTAATCATGGCCAGATCATGTTCTTTACACTGTGCAATAGAAAAAAAGGGGAAGGAGGTGTGTTGAAGTATCTTAATTTACATAAACCATCTTTACCGACTCTTTCACAAGTACACATATGCATTTATCATAAAATTATCAAAGCATTTTTGCATGTCAATATTCTAATTCCAGCATGAAGCCTAAGAGATATGACATTTGTTTACATATGCTAACCAGCCACGAGGAAGTTAAGTATCCTACCCAAGAGTTAGTGGAAGAGCTAAACATGTAGCAAAGGTCTTCTATGTTGCCTTTCTCTGATAAATCCATTATTCCACACCACAGTAACAATGCTACCTTGGTGTGAGAATTATGCCTCCTAAAACTTATCATTGTAGGTGTTAGTACTTCATTAACTATCCAAACTTCACTAAGCAAAATTGGAACATAACACTTTACCTAGGCCATAAGTTAACATGAAATATATCTTTTAAGATTGTATTAAATTATCTTTATTTTTAATAAATCACATTAAGTTAATTAATATACACCAAATAAATACACAGGTTATCTTTTTAGTCAAAGAAGAGGCTATTAACCTTCCATGAAAATGGTATGTATGCCAACAAAGCTAATAAACAACCTATTAGTGCTATTCCACTCTGTCTCCTCTGTAACCAATGGCACACATTTCTGAAATGTCTAGCTCAGGTTACAGTTTTCTATAGACAAGGAATGGAGTAAATATAAGGTGTTCATCCTCCATATTAAAAACAAATATTCAGCCCAACAATTGTGTTTCAAATCTACACCTGTTTTCTCCATCCCATGCCCAGAGTCCTAAGCTTGGATATCCAGTTCAATATATCACACTTGATCTGCTGCCACAGCCTCTTGAGTGAGATCATTGCCTGCAATGCCCACTTGAACTCCACCTCCACTTAGCAGAGCAGGGATGTATCTAAATGCCGAGTCCTCCTCATGGATCCCCTTACGCCCAAGGCGCCTCACCTGCACTGGCACCATTGTGGAAACTCTGCTTCCTTCTGACTTTCCAGTCTAATGTACTGGTGTGCATTTTCTCACCCACACAGTGGCTCACATCTCTGTGCCATTGTGCCACATGGAGAATCTTCCTTGCCTTTCTTCACCTGATAAACTCTAATTTCTAGAGTTTCTTTTACACAGAACACTTTCCAATCTTTCTTTACCCAATTTTTTAAGTTTATTTATTTTCATTTATTTATTTTTTTTTGAGACGGGAGTCTCAATCTCTGCCGCCAGGTTGGAGTGCAGTGGCGCGATCTGGGCTCACTGCAACCTCTGCCTCCCGATTCAAGTGATTCTTGTGCCTCAGTCTCACAAATAGCTGGGATTACAGGGATGTACTACCATACCCAGCTAATTTTTGTATTTTTAGTAGAAACGGGGTTTCTTCAAGTTGGCCAGGATGGTTTTAATCTCCTGACTTTGTGATCTGCCTACTTCAGCCTCCCAAAGTGCTGAGATTAAAGGCGTGAGCCACTGCACCCGGCCTTTATTTATTTTTTTTTTGAAACACAGTCTCCCAGGCTGGAGTGCAGTGGCCCAATCTCATCTCACTGCAACCTCCACCTCCCACGTTCAAGCAATTCTCCTGCCTCAGCCTCCCGAGCAGTTGGGATTACAGGCATGCACCACCACGCCTGGCTAATTTTTGTATTTTTAGTAGAGACAGGGTTTCACCATGTTGTCCAGGCTGATTTCAAACTCATGATCCACCCACCTCAGCCTCCCGAAGTACTGGAATTACAGTCATGAGCCACTGCGCCAGGCCTACCCAATTTTTCATAACCCATACGTTTATACTCATTTAAGGCATCACATTATCCAGGAACCTTCCCTGTACTCCCAACATTGGACTAATAAGCTTTTAAGTTTTTATGTTCTCATGCCTTCCAATATTCTGAAACCCTCTGAGAACTTACTAAGGTACATTTAGGTATTTATGGATGAATCATGCTACCTCTTCTAAAGCTTAAAGATGACAAGAAACATTTCTTTCGTCCCTGTGTTCCCTGCACCTAACACAATGCTGAGCGCCATGCAGACATTCAATTCCTGCGTATGATTAAACTACCCTTTTTGACTATCCCCAGAACAGCATGTGCGAAGCTGAAACTTTACAACCACCGCCAATAAGTGAATTTTCACCACTCTTGGGTCATCACCCTTTCACATCCCTTTTCTGGGAGTCTCCCAAATGACGATTTCAAAATCTCATCTCAAACCCCCTCTCTCATCCTCACTCGCAACTGACAGCCTTACTCTCTCTTTTTTGAGGAAATGGAAACCATCAGAAGAGCACTTCTCCCAAGTTCCTGTTGCCCACGAATGACATGGATGCAAATCTATGTTGCTTCCCTACTGTTCACAGAGACGGAGCATCTGTGCTCCTAGCAAAGGCCAGTCTCTGCGCTTCAGCACAATGGCCGCCGCTCTCCTACTCAAGAAATTCATCCCAGCAACTCTCTTCTCTCCTGTGACTCACCAACTTCCCAGCTTCCCTCCAGCAGTCTCACTGACATACATGTTCGCTGCTATTTCTTCTGTCTTCAAAGTCCACTCTGCCCCCAAATCCCTGTCCAGCAAATGCTCCATTTTCTCCTTGTCTCCAGTGGCCCATTCTTTCACATATTCACTCCCTCCGGGCTTTGGCCCCCACCATTTACCAAAACTGCTCTCGTGAAGACCATCAGTGACCTCCCTGTTGTTAAATCCAATAATCCATTAAATCAATGTTAAACAGAAGCCCCTAAAATGACTGACTACTCCTCCTTTTTGAACACTTCCGTCATTGTGCCTCTGTGACACCTTCTCCTGATTTGTCTCATTCCACAATGGCTACTTACTCTCACCTCAGTTGCTGGTTCCCCTCATCACACCACCTCTTCTCACTGGGGTGTTCCAGAGCCGCAGCTTGGAGCCTCTTCTCTGCTCTATCTATATTCACACTCTTGGTAATCACATGTAATCTCTCCCACTCTCCCTACGTGCTGATGGCCCCCATTTATATCTCTTTTTACTTCTCCCCTGGACTCCATAATCATTTGTCTAAACTTCCCCTTCAGCAGTTCCACATCAACCCCGAAGAGGCATCTCAAAAATAACACGTCCAAAGCTAAGTTCCTCTTGTTCTCTGCATCCCCACCCACCCACTAACTTCTAATACACACCAAACCCTGTTCCCACCACAGTCTTCCACAAAGCACTGAGTGGTAACTCCACCTTTCCAATTGCTCAGGCCAAACACTGGAGTCATTTGTGACTCCTTCTATCACACCCAATCCACCAGCAAATCCTGATGGTTCTACCTTCAAACATGACACAAAGCATGACATACCTGTGTTCAGAACCTTCCAAAGGGTCACTGTCCTACTCTGAATAGAAGCTGGTGTTTGCAATGGCAATGAGGCCCCCTATGGCACGAGTCCCTGCTGTCCCTCTGGCTCACTGCTGCACCCTCTGTGCTCCATCCCCACTACATTCCAGCTAACTGACCTCATTGCTCTTCCTTAAATGCCCAGAACACTCCCACCCCAAGGTGTTTCCATTTTTGTTCCTTTTGCCTGCAGCATTCTGTGTCAGAAAACCTCAAGCCTCATTCCCTTTCCTTTTCCATATTTTACACAAATTATGTCTTTTAAAGAGGCCTTTCATGCCTTTCCTAATTAAATATCAGTTCCTCAACATTTTCTATCCCTCTCTTTTCTATTCTTTATCAAATCTATCATCACTTATCATATTATAAAATTTACTAGTCAATTATGTTTATTCTCCTACTAAAACATAAGCTTTAGGAGGGCAGGCCTTTTGTCTGATATGCCCACTGCTAGAGCTCCAAGTGCCTGAAAGAATGACTGAAACATGTAGATATTCATTGAATACCTGTCAAAAAATGAGTATATAAAATAAAAAATAAATTAATTACCCATTTGCTTTTTATTCTCTTTTGCATTCTGAACCATATTTGGAATCTGAGGAAATCCTTTCCATTAAACAAACAAACTAGACATTGATTGATTGATTGGTAGGTAATTAGTTAGATAAATAGATAGATGGTAGATACTAATAGCTAGACAGCATGACAGATAAATAGATGATAGATAGATAGACAGATAAACAGATGGATAGACAGACAGATAGATGGATAAAGATAGGAAGCCTTCCTTCCAAAACAGAGAAAAAACAGTGCATAGCAAAATACAGGGATTGTTTATAGAAAGTCAGGCAGGGCCAAAAGAGCAAATTGCTTCTCTCTGAGTTTTCAGTATCTATGCTTCAAAAACAACTTTTCCAAAAAACCAAAAAAAAAAAAAAAAAAAAAAGCTTTCATCCTCTGATATCATCACAGTGCTATTAATATAAAGTTATTTAAGGTGTTTTATTTTGTTCTAAAGAAATTTAGACATCTGCTTCAGAGGAAGATCCTAATTCATCATATTAAAAAACTAAATAAGATCTCTGAAGATTAATAAAAATTGGGGAAACTGTCTTTGAAAAGGCAAACATAAATTAACCGCTCTTTATATCTAATAACATTTTTAGAAAAGGGTCTCTTCTACTTTGGGCATTAAGCTGACACTTCTCACATGACTTTTGGCTTTAAGTAGTTCAAATGTTTTACCACTTGGCTCAAATCTGTGTTAATTCTTTTATAGATGAAAGAAAAAAATGTAGACAATAATACAGAAGAAGGAAATTAATGAAACAACAGAACGCTCCAAGCTCGTTCCTACACCAGGCACCCTCGGGCTGAGCCTTGTCCAGCAGCCCAGCTTCTCCTGGATGGCACAGGAGGCTTTTGGAGGACTTTGAACTGCTTTCGCAACATCCGCCCTGCTTTCTGGTAGGCAAGGAAAGTTTGGCAAGGATTCCAAAAATATCATGAGAGTGCTATACTTTCAGTTTTTACTCCAAATAGTGCATTGGCTCAAGACTTAAGCATTGGAAATATGTTCCACCAGAGCAGTTATGGGGAAGGCGGGCTCATTGCTCTTTTGACATA